CCAAAACCACAAATGGTAGATTCTCCTCTAGACCCTCCAGAGGAAGTATGTCCCTGCTGACACCTGACTTCAGCCCAGTGCTACTGATTTCAGACTTCTCATGTCCAGATTGTGAGAGAAGTTCCTGTGGTTTTGCGCCACCTGGTTTACGGTAATTTGTTGTAACAGCCAAAGGAAACAAACTCACCAGGTTTTACAAGATTACTCCATCTTGATCAAAACTTGGTTTCTTGTCAGCCCCCTTTATTTGGTGTTTGAGAGGAACAAAATCAGTTATAGCAATTCACCCTAATGAGAGTCCCTAATTCTCTCAGAGGCAACAAAGTTCTTAAAGGAGAGGACTTATAAATCCTCAAATTAATGTCTAATTGGTAAGATTAATGTAAAGAAACAAAGTGAACTAAAACTCCAGACCATGGGAAGCAAGTCTAGGGAGGTAGATCTGTTTGTTGAAACAGGCAAATGAGGGATGGGGGTCAGCCCTAAGGGATATCCCCTTAGCCAGGTCCTTTTTTTCCCTCACAGAAACTTACAGGTTCTCCAAAAGCTGTATGTTCTTTTCCTCAGGGCTCCAATGTTGCCCTGCCCAGTGCCTGGCACATAGTAAATGCTGACTGTGGTGGTGAATAAATGAAGATGGCAGAGAGGGAGGGGAGGAGCCTGGCCATCACCTGTGTGCACAGAGTGGGTGCCTCCCAGACGTCTGCTACTTGATCAATGCCCATATAGTGGAACCTGTTATTAACATTCCTGTACTTTGCATTTCTCCTCAACCTGAATCTCTTCCCCAAGTTCTACGTTACTTATTGCAATTGTGTCTTATTTTCAGTAACATATATCTCTAGTACTCTGTGCAAATTTGCCCTGTAAAACAGATAAAACTTTTACCCTATAAAAAGAACTCCTCTCAACTCTAAGCCAAAACTCCTCAGTGATCACTTCTGGATGGCTGCTCAAGTTAACACAGAGCAAACAAAGCTATAATTATCAACCCCCAAAGAAAGCCAGTTGCCTAGAATAATCAAAGCCCATAATGGACACCATTCACAGCATCTGTATGTAATATACTTCTAAGTGAGGTTAACATAAAAAGAAGTGGAGAGCAACACCTTCATCTATCCTGCGATCTTCCTAAAACTATTCTTTCTCAATGGTTATATTTACACTTCCCCTAGTTCTCTTAAAAGTCCAAAAATAAGTGGTGAAATATGACCATATGGGGCCCTCTGAGGGACTGCTTGTAGAAGTAGCTCCAGCACTGATTCCCAAGCAACCCTGGAAGCTCTTGTCCCAGTTTTCCTTCCTTCAATAAAACCACACTGAACAGTGCAAACGTGACCTAAAGGAATCCGATTATGCATTTCACAAGACCCCCAGTTGATTAGCACACACCTCAAAGCTTGAGAAGCACTGCTTAGGATGAAGTTGGAAGCCACCATTTGGTATTTGACAGCTAATGGCTACCTGATGAGCAAATCTCGGGTAGAAATGGCCACGCCAGAATGACAGCAGGAGAGCAAAGGGGGGACATTCAGGCTGTACTAAGTGGAATGAATTAACCACCTGGATTGAAAGGCTTCCCACAAGCAAGGGGGGCTTTCTAGCACTGCTTCTTCCAATGTTTTACAGAGTATTTATGGTACTGTCTCCCTCTATAATGCAATGCTTTTTTGCCTGCATGTCTCTCTGGGAATCTAAATGCAGACTAACATTTAATCAGCACTGTCTAATTTCTAAGTGGTCTTACCTCCCAGCTTTGCTCTGAGTTGGATGGTAGTTGCTTGAATCACTTGAAATGACTATGCTGCCGAGAGCGCGCTTGGAGCCTTTTTCAGGCTCACAGCTGGGAGAACACAGCTGACCAGCAAGCACGAGGTGATGTCACCTGTGAGAGGGACTTCGAAAGGCTCATTTGCCTAATTTCGGTCAATTACAAAAATTACTGTGGCTTTTTCAGGGAAAGTAAGCTTTCGTAGGGATGAAATAAAAATATGAAATGAATAAAAATATCATACAGCAGTGCAAAACCCACAAAACACGATATATTAGAGTCACTGCAGAAGAGATTTCCATGCAAAGTAACCCCGTTCATTGAGAAGGAAAGCCTTGTTTTAGGTGCCTTGCCTATGTTTGCTACTTCATTCCAGTGGCCACCCTGTAACCTAGTAGACACAGCAGTCATCTCCATTGTACAGAAGAGGAAAATGAGGCACGGCGAGATTCAGTGATCAGCCCAAAGTTTCGCCCTGGTAGGTGGTGGAGCTGAAATTTGACAGTTTGGCTTCGGCAACCATTACTCTGCTCTCATTTTGGGCGGAAACAAGGTCAAGAGCAGGGAACACTTTAGCACCATCCTGAGGAGGAGGATTAAAGGGAAGATGACTAGCCTTCAGGCTGGTAAGGGGAGAATAAAACACATCCTTTCCCTCACCTGGACCGGAAGAGGCGTTTCAGTCTCCCAAGAAGAGCTGTAGCCCCAAGAAAATATAAAAGGGTGCATACTCCTCCCCCCCATCTCCACCCATACACTCACTCACCTTCAATTCACTTGGGCCCCCAAAACACACAGGGGTACTTGCAGCTCAGGGCAAGCCCTGGAGCCCAGCTCCCGAGCAAACACGGAAAATTAAACAGTTTGCACAGAATGAAATTTGGCCCGTGGATAGTGTCTGCAGCTGGTGGTTAACATGAGCAGTAAGAGGATCAACTCCTAGTCCGCTGGCTTAAAAAAGGGGGGTGGGGGCGAGACGTGTGCGTGCTCCCTTTTACCCATTCACATTAGTTAATTTGGATGATAAGGGTTCACATTTAATCCCTTTGTGTGAGAGTGAATATACCGAAATTGACAACCCCTGAGAAGGCACCCGAGGCTGGCAGAGCAACCTTTGGGAGGGTGCGAGTTGTGTCCAATCTGGCGTAAAGTAGAAAAGAAACGTCAGGACGAGACTGAAAGCTAGACAGAGAGGGACACCCCAGGGGTGCAGACTGTGCTCCCAGGCAGGCGGCAGGTAGGCTGCTAGCTTTCCAGTGCTCGGCACCCCGGGGCAGACTCTGCGCTCTAGGAGCTCCCTGGGTCCCACCAGAGAGCAGGGCTCTGCCCTAGCCACCTCAGCCAAGGATTACCAACATCCAAGGGGAGAGTCTGGGGCCTTGCATGGTTCAGCAGAGTAGAGAGAATTGAAGGGGAGGTGGGAAGCAGAAAAGGAGGGAAAGATGTCTAAGGAGACCTCTAGTTTCTCAGACGGAACAGATTAGAAAGAGGCGAGAGCTCCCTGACTCCAGAGCAGGTCATGAAACAAAAACCATTTTTACAGTTTCCATCTGCAAGAAACCTCTTCCTCCCTAGCCGCCCCCCTACACACACACACATTCCGCACGCTTGGAGCCCCCAAAGTGCTGCTCCAAGGCAGCAAATGTGAGCAAGCCCTGTCGATGGGGGACGAGGCCCGGCTGCTGGGCCAGGCTGCCCGCAGAGGCGCAGGCGGTGGAGAGCCCCCTCCCTCCTCCTTCCCCTTGGGCCTGTCCAGCAAATGTCCTCCCGGGTTTCTGTTCGTGCCTACCCTCCCTCCTCCTCCCCCAATATATTCGCTCTCTAAAACCATAAAAAAGAGATCAACTTCCCTAACTTCACGGAGCCCTTTTCAATGACAAATATTGATGCCCAAAGTGTCTGCGCTCTCCCGCCCTCAAACGTTAAGAAAAGGCGCCCGCGAAAGGGGGACATAAAAAGTTAACAATGCTGTGAAAATATGTTTGCAGAAAATAGACAATCGTTGGATTAAACGTATTCAAGTATGAAATAATGCCTTTTTGTGTCAAAACTTGGGCGATGGGCGGGTACAAAAGTTCCCTGTGGCAGCTACTTGCTCCCTTTGTGAGCCGTGCGCTTTGGCGTCTCCACTTGGGCGCATTACTCAGAGCCCTCTAAGCGCGATTGTTTCTCCCTTTCTAATGACATTTACCGGATCAAAACATGCTGTTAATTCGATCAGAAGGCTTCACCCTCCCTGACAAAGCCACAACAATTTCTCCTGAAGTTTGTTAAATTGACCAAAATTAGGCAAATGAATAGGGGTCTGTAGGCGCCCCCTCTCGCAGGTGACGTTGCATAATGCTCGCCTGGGCCAGCTGCATTCCCCCTTTTCTTCTCGACCTACTCTTCTCTGTGTTGCCCCCCAATCCTCCCACCACCGCCCTCACACCACACACACACACACACACACACACACGCCTGTCTGCCTGCCTCTCCTCCCCCACACTCTGGCATTATTAAAATTTAGCCCAATGAAACTATTCATACTTTTCAATGGACATTTTCGTATAGGATAAGAGGCTACAAATTGAGCCTCTTCCCCCCGCAAAGAGAGCCCGAGGAGGGAGAAAAGAAAGCAAGCGACATAGTCAGGGAGTAGGGGGAGCGTCGCGTGCCAAAGACCAGCGGGAGGGGCGGTGCGAGGCGGGAGCCTCGTGTGCCAGCCGCAGCCCCACACCTGCCGGGATGTCCGGACAAATAAAGCGGTGTAAACAAAAAGGGGGGAGATGGACGTGTCACCAAGTCGTGTGAGAAAAGCCTGGGAACAAACGGGGCGCCTCCGTCTCCAAGAGCTCTCCCTTGAACCCAGCGGAACAGCCTATTAAAGGCTTACTTAATTACTTTAATGACTCTGGACAGGCTTTAAAACGCACGGGGAGCAGGGACTGCAGTCTTGCTGGGATTTGTAAACAGGCAATCGTGTGAGACTCAGTGGTGGGACTAAAGGAGGCGACACTGTTTTGTGACGGTCCTCGCCCCCCGGTGCCCGCGGCCGCTGCGCCCCTGCGCTCTGCGCCTGCGAGGCGCTCGCTCGCTGCCAGCCGCAGTTTACTGCCTCCTTTTCCTGCCGGGGCTGTTGCCATGCAAATATTATTCCCCGCCGATCACGTGTCCTTTGAAGGGCCACGTGGATTAACAAAGCTGATCTACCCCCAGCTCGCCCCCCTGGACTGCTAAAAAAATTTTTTCTTAACTTCTTTAAAACTGATCTTGAATGCATACATCCCCCAAACGCAGCTTCCTAATCCTATGGAATAATTCAACTCGTGAATGCACTTGGAGCCCTAGATGACCGCTTTATAAGGCAGCTCCTTGGAGCTGGGAGGCTGCAGTCTACCTGGGACACTAAAAGAGACACAGAGGCAGAGAGTGGACGGGTGCCTTGCGCCACTGCGTCTCCCGAGGGCGCGTTCCCACCAGGATGTCAGACAAGCTCAAGGAACGCAAAGTGAGTTGGCTGAGGCTAGACGGCTCTTGCGCCCTGATGGTGGGGGCGCAGACTCCGGAGCGGCCACCGGGCTGGGCCAACACAGGGACGTGGCCACGCGTGACTTCTCTTGTAAAGGAATTCTGAGTGGTTTGGGAAGGGAAAGGGGGTAGAAAGAGGAGACTCCTGAACTGGGGAGGAGCTCAGGCCTAGAAGCCACCTCCTTGCTGCCTTGGCGCTCAGCTTGTTGGTGTAGCCCAGCGAGTAGGGAAGTTGGCAGGGAAGTGCGCACCAGCCCAGGGCTCGCTTGATTCAAGTGTGGACCGGCAGGAACTCCTTCCCAGGCGAGTTTTTGGGCAGCACTGGGAGCTGGGAAGACGGTGGGCAGATGGCTACAGCTGTGGCAATTTCAACTACCTGGGAAAAGCCATCCGAAATTCACAAATTTCTGTTCACAGAGAACCCGCGTTTCCCACAAAGTAATAGAAAAGCGGAGGAGGGACCGGATTAACCGCTGTTTGAACGAGCTGGGCAAAACGGTGCCCATGGCCCTGGCGAAGCAGGTAACGTCGGGCACTGAGAATAGAGTACTAGGCGCCGGGGGGTCCTCTGCTGCTACTCTCGGCCTAGATGCCAGCATTCTGGGGACAGAGTGGGCCATATGCGAGAGTCTCCTTCCCTGGGGCCTGAGAGCCGAGTACCAGGCGGCTCTCCCTCAGATCCACAGCAGCACTGTGCTCGCTAGTCCTCTTCAGATAGAACCCTGCACCCATCCTGCCGGGGTTCGCCTGCGCCTGCTGGGCCGCTGCTGTGAGGTACCCTCTCCTGTTGCAGAGTTCCGGGAAGCTGGAGAAGGCGGAGATCCTCGAGATGACCGTTCAGTACCTGAGGGCGCTGCACTCGGCTGATTTCCCCCGGGGAAGGGAAAAAGGTGGGCGCTGGCTGGGCAAAGGGAAACCTGGGCAGGGAGCATGCGCCACACAAAGACCTAGAGGTGGCAACAGAAGTGAAGAGGCGCACGGGAGAAGTCTCCTATCTGACACTGCGGGGGCAGGTGTGGGTTCGGGTCCTGCAAAAGCTAAGGGGAGGGGGCTGAAGAACTAGTTTCGGCATACACTGGTTCGGTTGCCTCCTCTCAGGTGGGGAGAGGTAGAGTCAGTCTCTTACGGAAAAGGTCTCTTGCTTGCGCTTTTTCCAGTCTCCAGACTGGAGAGAGAGGAGGGGGCCCTCAAATGAGAACTTTGGCCAGAAAGTGATTGCAGGTGCCTGGCACTTACTTGCCTTGGGCTCTCAGTAGGGAAGGGGCTGCTCAGTTTCTTTCCTTTCTACGGTTTTCCTCTCCCCTCCAGCAGAACTGTTAGCAGAGTTTGCCAACTACTTTCACTACGGCTACCACGAATGCATGAAGAACCTGGTGCATTATCTCACCACCGTGGAGCGCATGGAGACGAAGGACACCAAGTACGCGCGCATCCTCACCTTCTTGCAGTCCAAGGCCCGCTTGGGCACCGAGCCCACCTTCCAGCCTCTGGGGTCGCTCTCGGAGCAGGATTTCTCCTATCAGCTGCACCCAGCGGGGCCCGAGTTTGGGGGCCACAGCCCCGGTGAGGCCCCTGTATTCCCGCAGGGTGCAGCCCCGGGGTCCTTCTCCTGGCCACACAGCACGGCCCGAAGCCCGGGGCTGCCCTACCTGCCCACCACACCTGTGCCCCTCCCAAGCCCCACTCAACAGCACAGCCCTTTCCTCGCACCCGTGCAGGGCCTGGACCGGCACTACCTCAACCTGATCGGCCACGCACACCCCAACGGCCTCAACCTGCACACTCCCCAGCATTCCCAGGTGCTCTGACACCTGCCCCTCCCCCGCCTGATTTCTCTGGGCATTGGGCGCTGCTTAGGAGAGATACTGTATATTGTACAGGTGTATATATTGTGCGGACAAACAGCTGGGTGGGGCAACGCCAAGAGCAAATCCAGTCTTCTGAAGGATCTCCCCCTGGCAATAAATGTTTTCTGTTAAAGACCCAAAGAGATGGGTTTCTTTGTTACCTCTGCTCCTCCACAACCCATCCCCTCAGAGGTGCAGAGGACCAGAGGCTCCCTGGGGCCAGGATGATGGCCCCGTTATTTGGAGAGGTGGGATGCTGCCTGGTCTGAGGGCGGGGAGGGGGGGGGCAGTGGCTAAATGAGGGTGTCACTTGTGGAGGGGATTTCCAGGTTCCCCTGAGGCGGCTGACCCATACCGTCCCAGGTGCACGTTGAGAATTTACTCGGGGAAGGGTAAACACTGTAACGGGCTATTGGCTCTCAGAAAATGCGAATCCAAGGACCCACCCCAAACTGGCTGGGTGAACTTTTGTCAGCTCAGACTGGGCGCCCTTCCTACCCCAAGGCAAGGTCCCTGGAAGTCCAACCTCCGGGCCCCCTGATCTGGAGCGCAGAATACTCAGCATCCCCATACTCAGGCCCTCAGGGTGAGTGACAGTTTACAATCTTAACATGTCTCTGTAAAAACAAAAAAATAATAAAAAGTTATGGCTGAAAAACAACATCCATTGAAATTTTTTTTGGTAATCTTTGGATTACTACTCTCCATGGGAGGGTTTGGGGAAGCTGGCATTGCCTCCAGTGATCAGCACAGCTCAGCTCAGCTGGGGGGACGAGGCATCAGGGAGAGGCCAGCACTGACAGACTGGGAGATGAGCTCCGCCAAGGGACTGTTCCCTCTGAGGATTCCCACCATTGGCCACTGGCTTGGGGTCCAGACACCGGCTGGTTCAATCTTCAGATTCTCAGGCATGGTGAGAAGAGGCTTCCCTTCACCCTGGGGTGGGAGAGGTCAGGGGGACCTTCTCCTTCCACCCAGAACATAGGTAAGTTTGGGGTCTAGGGGAGACTTGGTTAGTGAGTACCTTTAAGGGATTATGGTTTTCAATTCCAGTTATATCTACACCTTCCCCACAAAACAGCGATACATTTAAAATAGCGAAGATCAAGTTTTTCTAAGACCCAAACACAAAATAAGCATCACTGTTGTTTTATGCAAACAGGTAAAATTCAACAAGGTGCCCAACCACCTAAAGTTGTGTTTGTAAGGATTTAAAATTTTTTCCTTCGTTGATCCTTTTCTTTGTTCCCATAGTCTCTTTTTGTTCCTGATAGCTTTGATGCTCATTAAATAAATAATTCTAAATTACCTGGCAGGTTTTCCTGTTTCCAGAGGTCATTTCGCTCAACTCGGATGATTTGTCTTCTCCCAGATTAGCTGGAGGACAATAGATTAGCTTATTCCATTTCTGTGGACAGGGCTTAAAGAAGCTCAGACCTAGCCTGTTTACTGAGGTCATGGAACAAGATGACCGGCAATTTGTAAACCATCAAATTGATTAGACAGAGACAGGACAAAACAAAGCACCTCATTATACTACACTCACTGCCCATAAACTGAAACTTAAATGTGTATGTTTTGGAGGAGCAGGGAGAATCTATAATCTTCAGAAAAGGTCTTGTAAGTAAGTGGTTCTTGTCCTTATATGCACTACAAATATCTCCTTCCTTCTGAAGTGATATACTTGGAGCATGAAAATGAGTGTAAGGCCAGGAGGCCTTCTGGATAACAAATATGCATTGAGCAATATGGGATGGAAACAAATCATGCAGAAATGGGAGAAAGCATGGTGCCTATTATTGGAACACATGTCTTACACCCATTTTCATCAGCGCTGGGTACAGAATATGAAGAAAGCTTTTCAGGCTTTTTTTCCACTGAGCATTAAGCCAATCTGAATTCCCTTTGGCAGTGAAGCATTAAAGATATAGTGTTACCCTGGAAATATAAATTATTAATATATTCCGCATTTCTGTCACTTCTCAACTGTTAACCAAATTAGACAAAACTTTCTTTTGCTAAGTAGATTTTCTCTTTGGGATTAGCTCTGGAAATGCACAGGGCCACCACAGTAAAAAACTTCTGTCATTTACATATAATTCTGCAAACTTCCACTGGCCCATGACAGTCTTTGTACCTCAAATGTTGGTATTCTTGATTTTTTTCTTTCTCATTTAACTGTGGAGGATAAAACCCTGCTTTGGATTTACAATGACTTTAGGATAAAAGTCTCCCTCCTCCTTCTCTCCCCCTTTCTCTCTCTCTGTGTGTGTGTGTGTGTGTGTGTGTGTGTGTGTGTGTTGTCTTTCTGAAACCTTCATCCAAAGTTCCAATTCTCTAGGTTTGGCTAAAAGTCAAATTTGGAATAGTTTGACTTTGTAAAAGATTAAAAATGTCACTACAAAATGGAATTGATTCCAATCACATTGTGACTTCAGTGTGTTCTTCCTGTACTTTCTCTGACAACACGTTACTTCCAGCCTTGCTGTCCCAAAGCCCCCAGTCCCCCCCACCTCTGTCTGAGTCTCTTATGCCCAATCCTTCCACTCTTTCTTTTAAGTAAGTTGTATAGTAATGGTTTCCAAGAGAGGCTCAACCAAACCCAGAAATAACAAAAAACAAAAAACAGTGGGTTTGGCTGGAGGTGACCCATTGTGATGCCTCTGAAAGGGGCAACCTCTTGTTTCTTGGGCTTCATCCTTGAGTGGGCAAGAATAAAAATAATCATCCCATGAAATCAAAGGTTTTCTCCAGAGGCTTGAGGAACAAAGCTGATGGCTGTTGCTTTGGGTCGGTCCCCGTGGCTCTGCAGGGCAGGAACTAGGCGCTTCCAGGCGCTCCAGCCGCCCTGCCGAAAGGGCAGTAATACAGAGCTCACTTGTGCTTCCAAGCGTTATTGCATAAACACGGGGCGCATATCAGTGCAGGCCCTCCAGCCTAGGCTGCAAGATACCAGGCAAGGAGGGTAGAAGAGGAGCTATGTAGGTGCCTAACTGGCCCCCCAGAAGTATGGATTCCCAGAAACCTGGTAGTGGGTATCTGCATAGAGTAACACACCAAGAAAAGGAAGGCAATGGGGCATACAGTTAGAAGCCCAATAAATAAATATATTTGTGGAATGACTGAATAGACTGCCTAGCAGTGCTGAGCCTCTTAGAATTCTGCATCTCCCTTAGACCTCTTGTTTCTGGCCCTCAGTCCCCTGCCCACTTCAGCAGAGACTAGAAAGCACTTTTTTTTTTAACCTCACCCGAGGACATTTTCCCATTTTTTGTTCAGATAGAGTGGGAGGGAGAGAGAGGAAGAGAGAGAGAGAGAGAGAGAGAGAGAGAGAGAGAAAGAGAGATAGCACTGTGAAAGGGACACATTGAGTGGCTACCTCCCACACGACCCAACCAGGGCCGGGGACAAACTGCAACCGAGGTACGTGCCCTTAGCAGGAACTGAACCCAGATCTCTCTGGACCGCAGGCCAACACTCTAACTGCTGAGCCAACCTGGCCAGGGCTAGAAAGTACTTTTAATGCCACCAAACATCTGCTGAATAATCTACACTTTCTGAGTTGTCAGAGGAAACAACGACCTTGCCGATCCCTGAAACATCTACCTTGTGGTCTGACAGCAGGAGACAATGCTTAGCCTGCATGGTCAAGATGGATAACTGCAGGCCCAGCTAAATGTAGACCCCCCAAATGCAAGATCTGATTTCAGAACTAGCCAAATGGGGGCTCTGATCCTTTCACATGGGAAAGATTCAACACTGGGATGACTGCACCCTCTTTTCTGCCATCTTAGTTGTTTAGAGTGTGCCTTCTGAGCAGGCTGCCTGGACGCGCACTGCAGCTCTGCTGCATGCCCGCTGTGTGCCTTAGCACCTGCTAAGCCTCTCCATGTCTGTCTCCCCACATGTTAACCAGAGACGTTAAAGTACATAGACTTGATAGGGTTGCTATGAGGATTAAGTGAACTGGTACATTCAAAGCACACTAGACAGTGCCTGATCCATAGTGAATGTTTAATTGATGTGAACTATTATAATGATCTATTTCTTCCTCCCTTCTTCCTAAGACTCAGATCATTGGAGCCACCTCAAACAAACAAAAACAACAACAACAAAAAACACACACACAAAACAAAATGCGAAGGCAATCATGAAAACATTTTAAACCTCGGGATTTGTTCTTAAACCCCCAGGCTTGTTCTGGAACGAGTCAATATTCTTCTTTTAGGTCAAGTGGGGGCCAGGAGCTCTAATTTCATCCTGTGGTCAATTTGGGGGCTGTAAGCCCTACTCCAACGTATGGTTAGTTAGTCAGAGCCCCTCTAACAACTGTGGAATGCTATCTCTCTGCTGCACATACAGGAATCTGGCCTCATGCTTCGCAGCAGCTCTTACACCTGTCCTCATCCATTCTCTCCCCAGGGACATGTCCTGATGCCGATCACATGCAAATACTGGCCGTCAGAAGTTCTTTACTGAAACATGGAGTGAATAAACCAATTCAAAATTCATTAACTATACTTTCTATGGCAACTTCATGCTCTTCTCAGATTTCTCCCAATTTTCCCCACTCAAGTCCTTTCTATGTATTTCATTCATCGGCTCTCTGCCCCACTCCTGGCCCCAGACCCAAGCCTGGTGTAGGTGGAGGCTCAGCTGCAGACAGGCAGCTCTGGGGCCTGACCTGCCTCTCCAGGCCTCACTTGGCCTTCCATTCTCATTCCACCTCGTTTTTGGATTGTGTGGCTCCAGATATCTGATCCTCCATGTACCTGGGGCCTGGTATAAGAAATGATCCGTGTATATGTATGTGTCCCATGTGGACAGAGATTACTGGAGTAATAACTCTTAACATCTCTCAGCAGTCCTCCTGTATCCTTCAGCTGCCTAACAAAAGTGTTTGGAAGGCAAACCCAGGCAGGCTCACGTCAGCCCCTTCCTCTCTGGGTGCGAACCTGCCCAAAGGAAGCAGTCAAGCATTCCCTACTGGGCTGGTTGGAAGATGTATAGCTCTTCCTGTGTTTTTTATGGGTGAGTTTAATCTGATGATTTTAACTGCAATCTCATTGTCTCTGCATAATGAAGTCAAATCCTCTAATCAGTCGCAAAAGAGACATTTTTATCTCCACCTGACACCTACATCTCAAATGAGTCTAAGCCCTGATAGGAGAAAAAAATTACTTTATTTATCGAA